CTTCATACTGTAAAAGAGGGCTTGGGAAAAGTGGAGGAAAATATTCAAGACGGTGCAGTTTGGATGCACACGTGCCCGGGACAAGCTCCGCTAATAAACAGGTTGCTGTTCTGTTTTTAGTGAAAGTCCACCCGGGGCTGTAGTATAAAGTTAAAGAGTAGTATCTCACTACAGTGCACCCAGTCATACAGTGCTGTACCCGCGCTGTGCCTGACAGCTGGGGGCGGGGCCGAGGAGAACCGAGAACAGCTGTCAGCCAATGGACTCTCGGGATGATGCAGCAAAGAGTTTTAATTGGATCGCTTTAGAGGTCCAACAACAAGTCATTGATGTAGCCCATGATGGGGTTTATTAATAAAAAGGGGATGTAAACAGTGAACACAGAGCTTGCTTCATTATTTATTATCCGCTTTTGGGGAAATATTATTTCTCCTGATGTTGGAATAGGATAAATGCAGAGATCCTGTCAAGTGTTAAGTGTAAAAGTCAAATGTAAAAGACAGAAATTGCAGTAAATATTAAATCATATAATATAAGAAGCAGCTGCTTTTATATAACTACATTTAGAGGACAAGTCCTCCAGAGTATCAGGCTTTTCAGATATTTTCTCAGGGACCATGTCAGATGGTAACATGACTCAAGACCATTAATAATAGATTGCATGCATAATGTATCCTTTGTTCCTCTGGAGGAGAACTCATTGAAAAGATCTGAATTACTTTCAAGGACATTAGCGGGGATCACTCACAGGGTCTAACCTGGGCTAGATCAGTTTTGTTTTTCCCCACTAAACCCATACTCTGTCTCTGAGGAATTTGTATGAACCCTGCTCCAACGTTCTAGCATGAACTGAAATGACAGCCAAGATAGCTAAATGAACATGTACAATTTAAACAATTGCAGAGATATTCTTTACTCTCAAAAACAAAAGCAGTGAGGTGTGTGGTTAAGTGTACTGAAAATAACTGCAGTCATACTGTAACAGTGACACATCCAGTTCAGTGAAAGCAACTATAAGCTGTGTGGGTGAAAATAATTACTTCATAATCTGAAGGTTGCTCAGTGATCTGGCTGAGTTTACATATGAGATGCAGACAGACTGTAGCTTCTGTACCTGACAGCAGGTTGGGCGTCATTCTGGAGCAACAGTGAACCCTGGTGTTGAGCAGTCAAACTTCAGTTTTTGTCAGTGCATAAAATGCTTTCCCCTTAAAAGCCGTCTATCACCTGCACATATAGAAAGACACACTGTTCAGAGTCTGAAGGTCATATCACATGGGACAGATTAACCTCCAGGTAGCCATGTTCTCCTACATCTGGTAATATCACACAATTAGGGAGACTGCCACAGGCATTACTGTTATGAAGCCAGGTCTCCCTCCTTTCCACTGATTTTAATCACAATAATTTATCTCAGTCACTTCACTGGCTGCTCATTGACTGCTCTATTGTTAGAGGGGGAAAAAAACCCTACGATGTTGGGCAGCAACAAATTTTGGACAATCACTGCTGTGAAAATCAAAGTCGCTAAATTGAGATTTAAAATGAACACTGAAGGTCTTTTATAGTCTTTAAAGTTGTGAAGGATTATTTAATATCACAGTTTCATGTCTACGTTGGGTGCAAATTATCCATCCTTTCTGCTTTAATCAGTCTCTAAGGAGCAGCGTGTCAGAGGGAGCACAATTCAGAATGAGGTAATTTTGAAAAAGGATCATTTTCTAGTTTGTAATCATCAAGCATCTAAGCACAAACTAAGTGACCTGTTTTTAACCTACACTATCAGCATGACCCTAAGGATGTTGGTCTGATGGTTGGCTGGTCTGTTCATCACTTTGGTCCAGACTGCAAAATGTGAACTGCTACTGAATGGCTCACCATAACATGTAATAAAAGGTATCCGTGGTGCCCAGAGGATGCATCTTAATGACTTTGGTGATTCCCTGACTTTTACGTCACCTGCACCAGTCACTTTTCACTTATCCAGGAAATAGCTCAACAGCTTCTGGCTGGATTGGCACAAACTTTTGTACAGACATTCATGGCTGTCAGATAATGTATGCCACCATGATACTGACATTTGAGGTTTTGAGTGAAATACCTCGACAACTGTTGGATGGACTGACTGCCACAAAACTTGGTAGGCCTGCAGACATTCATTCAAGATGAAATGCAGTATCTCTGGTGATAGCCATAGCGTAGAGTCTTCATTAGTTCAAACCTTCTATTTGTTCAATGATATATATAAAAATTTACTATAACATATACTTTATCTTACAAAGCTGACAGCTGTTCATAGTCAGTCACTGGCCAAAGCCGTCGCTGCTCTAATCAAAGCAAATAAAAAACAAAACAACAAAAACTTTGAAATAAATTTAAAAACCTAGAAGTAAAAAAGCAGAAATGAAGTCCAAAAATAAACATATGAAAAAGGGGAAATTTTAGTGTCTGATATAGTTCAAAAACAATTCCTGGTTAAGATTTCCATCTAGTGTCTGCTTGCAAAGCTGCATGCAATGACAAGCAGGAATAGGTGACGAGATGAGGGGAGTGAGAAAGGAGTGAAAAGTTAAAGTTAAGTGAGGAGGAGAGCAGAGAGGAGGAAGGTATGTGATGAAGCACAAGAAGGGGTGTTTAACACAGAGTTTTCTTTCTTTGATAGTGTGGCTGCTGGTGTTGATATTTGTTTTGTTGAGAAATGGTATATTGCAATTATATTGTTCATTGTTAATATGAAGGCTAACCTTAACTACTAAACCGGCCCCCGTTGCCATGGCGACAGTAAACATTCATGTTGCAGACTGAGCGAATGAAAGCAGGGTGCTGGATTTTAAACTCTGTAATGCTGATGTGGATGCATTGTAAATAGAGCACATCCCATACCCATCCAACCTGTAAAGAGACAACTGGTGTCATTTCCTTACCATTGAGTTTATTGTAATCATTCAGTCCATTTGCTGTTTACAGTATACTTGGCATTTTCTAAATTTAAGCTTTAAACAGTTGGCAGTTATCTTCATTAGTCCTGTATAGTCACTGGAACAGCCAACTCATCTCTTACAGGTGTTAATAGTTCAGCAGTTTGCACTTTGTGTAATTTCCTTTACACACAGATCTACACAGTAAATTTCACAGTGTTAAATCAACACTTAAATTTAACACTGTGTCTGAGTGTATTTGGTCCTTATCAGAATTAGTGTTAAATTAACTCTATCCACAGTGTTAAAATTTCAGAGTAAAATTAACTCAAAATTGAGTAAAAATTGAACACTGGCTAACACTGTACAGTGTTAATAAAAGTTAACACTACAGGTTAAATAACTCTGGAGAGAGTAAATATGATTCTCAGCAGTGTTGATAACTTACTCTACTGTGGTGTCAAATCATCTCTCATTCTAATGCTTTTTAACACTGCATTGAGTTATTGAAGGTTAACACTGGAGGCTCATATAACTCTAATAAGTGTTAATTTTACACACTACTGTGTTGATTATTTACTCTGTTGCTGTGAAAAACCAACTCAGAGTCAAATCCTAACAGTCATTAACACTGCACAGATAAATTTAGTGTTATTTTTACACTTTTGTAGTGTCATATTGCATTTATCTATAGTAATTAAATAATACTTGTACCATTGAATAAAATCAAGTTACCACAAAAATGCATTTAACCACTTCACTTTTAAATTGTACAAAAGCACCTTTTCAAGATGCATTTAACATTTGTATTTTCAACTTTTGTACTAGTTGTACAAAAGCTGTTCACATGCTGCACTTAAAAAGAAAAGTGAATAGTTGTGCAATGGGTGCGGCAGCCCAATACAACAACTTGTTCACATGCACCACTTTAAAACCTTTGGAAAAACACAAGCCACAATGTAACAGTAAGGTCGTGTAACGTTGTACTTCCCCTGCCATTACAGAGCTCCAAGTGAAGTGTAAATAAGCATAAAAACAGTTAACTTTTGGTCAGCCTAACAACGCTACCACTTTAGAACACTGACTTTAGGTCTGCATAAAATGGCAATATGGAACAACCTACCTGTTGTACCATACTTCATTTGAACATCAAATGGTTTGAAGTAAAAAAGATAATTTATGTGCAACACTTAGGAAGTTGCCTTGAATATACTTCAAGAATCATTTCACCTCAAAACTGAAACATCCCCCTCTCAAATACTCATAGCATTATATCTACAGCAGAAGTTTGTTGCTGTGTGAAATACTGAAAGTGATTCAAAAGACAAACACGTTTCCACCATATACATGAGGCAGACGCTAGGATCTGTTTGTACAGTTCCTGATAGTGCATGTGCAATTGCGCATCAACCTAGTTCTTAAAACAACTTCCGGATTCATCTTCACAAATGACAGTTTTTGAAAAATGTGTTTCTGGCCAGGAGACAAGAAACGAGCAGCAATATTGACGCGCCCATACATGACTCCAAAAAGCCAAACAGACCATGCAAACCAAGAATTGTCCCAGTGACTGAACTACAGTACATGAATCGCGCAGATGTTCAAGAAATTGGAACCTTTAAAGTGATCGTGATGCTGATGTATCTGCAGAGATTAAACAAACCAATATTGTCTCAGCTGGTATACACTGGATTTAACAAAGATTTTAATTTAATCTAAAAGCTACATTGAGCTAACTAAAAACTATTTACAAATTACCCATTCTTCTCCGTCATGTCAGCTGCCAGTATGTTCACCATTTTCCTTCTGGTTTCATCTGTCAGGGACTTGCTTCGATTATATTCATTTATTATGCGTTCCCCACCAGGTTTCTTGGCAAGATGGATTCCACCAACTTCAAACAAAGAGCAAAACAAATCAGCATGTTGAGAATACATCCCTTTAATAAGTAGGGATTTAAAAAAAGATCTTAAAAAACAAATGGTCATTAAAATAACACTATATTCTTTTTTATGGCCTTGGTGCCCTAAAAATAATTCCTTTTCTGCTCTGGTGTTTGTGTGTTAATTCTTACGTGCTTGGCTTCTGTGTCCAGCCTCTGCCATCTACCGGAAGGACTCTCTGAAAGGATGTCTGTATCTTGAGAATCAGACAAATCAAGGGTTGGTGGTTCAGACTGCTCAGGAGATTGTACCATGGAGACAGATTCTGACCATGATAGGAGAAGCAGATGGAAGGAAAAATATTAACCACAAGGAACTAGCATGTCCATTAAATACTGTAATATAAATTACAAATGTAACTGAGACAAACCTGTGTCATATTTGATGGTTAGCACTCCAGCTGAGGGATCCTTAACTACATCCTCAAATACATCGTCATCCAACTCAGTCCCCGAGCTGTCAACAACCTTTACACCCTCTGTCACAGCTGGCACACCAAACTTTGCAAATGCTACAGGAGAAGACAAATGCTTGTGTAAACCAGACTTATGAATTCATGTTGGTCTAATACTCACACATATCCAATGAATCTGGAACATCACTTTTGAACAAACATCAATAAATTAATGTGTGACATAAAACTTATATTATTACTACTTTTTAAGCAAAGAAAGCATGCATTCAAACTTACTAAGTGTGATTAGATATGGTAACATTTGTACTCAAAAGTTACTATTACAGTTACTATTAGCACCTTAAAGCTTCCAGTGCAAAGCTTAATTCCAATATCAATTTCTTACCTGCAATCAAAAACTCTTTCAGATCCAGCTCTGTTATTCTAACAAATTTTTGGACATCACCAAGTCTGGCCTTAATCAACATGGTTCCTGCAGCACATAATTCCTCATTGTCAGAATCTTATATGCTTATTATGATAACAAAAACACAAATATAACAGTAAGTGCATGGTTTTCAACAGAGCAGCCAACGAGACCAACTTTTATGTTCAATTTGAAAATAACATTTGTCTGCTGTTTCAGGCCACCAAACAGCAGACAAATGATCAGCTATTTGCAGAAATGACAAGCAGGGATCAGTTATACTTATGTTTAATCACGTCAGCTTATGAACTAATCAAATCACATCACAAAAGCTTGGCCTGGGACTCACATTACCTGCGTCCACTGTAACCACCGTTTATGATTCCAGCAACGTGCCTCAGCAATGTGACAAGTATCTCTTTTTACCATGTGACTTTACGTTAACGCAAATGAGAAAACAAAGTTTGAGACAACAGCTGTTATGGCTGACGGTACATCACGCACTGCGACAGTAAGCATGATTTCACACGGACTACTTCCCTTTTTTTACTTCAAAATAAAACACATGTCTGTGCTGTTAACTTTACTGTAGGCTAGACGAAAAAATCACTCCAAAAAACAAATATGATCCCACTTTACATTTTGCTGAAACAACGTTACGAGCCGTCTAAACTGATGTACGTCACAGAGCAGACCAAGCTGGAGGGGAGACATGTGCAAACTGCTTCCCAAAACCGAATAGAGCTTTATGTTACATCACATCATTTACCGTAGAATATAATGACTGAAGTTAATATGTTAATGACTCGGCCGCAGAGTAATTTCAATCACCTTGAGACTAATATCAAGGTTAGAATACTTATTAACACAAACGTTAGCTAGTTTAGCCAACTCCCCTCACCAACACAGGCAAATGCTGATATAATATGAAATAATTAACTTAGCTGGTGGATTTGTTTGGTAAACCAGTAAAAACAAATAAATCATTTTAAAAAAGCGCACATGCCGCACACTTGATGATCAACGTTACTGCTGATTTGAACAGCCATTCAGCCAATGTGGGGGTTATTTTTTCTCAACTCACGGCAATTTTCACCAGAATTTAAGTTATGTTTAATACAAAAAAACTATCTCTCCACATCATATTGCTAAGTTAATTACCTTTTGCGGACATGGTCAAGTTGGACACGCGCGCATTTTAAGCTAGGTATTCACTTGGTAACGTTAGCCGTATTGTCGAATTTGGTGTTAAGATACAAAACCCGCTCAAATACGGGGGCCAACAACACAATGTTCTCCTAAAACACCATTTCTGCTGAAACGCCAACATAAAATTGAGTTAATATGGAAAAAATAAGAAACTTACCGCAGTAGTTGCGCGTCCAGAAAAATATTCAACAGTTTGGAGGAGGAAGTGGTGGGCGGGGCTTTCCAGAGTCAAATTAACACGGCGTGTTTTAACTCCGGAAATTTTCACCAACACCAGGGGGCATTCTACTCAATCTGTTGTTGTAATAACTCCGAAAGAGTCAATGCACTTTGACACTGCATATTTAACACTGCGAAATTTACTGTGTATGGTTAAATGTTTAAGATGAGGTAAAATTAATCAGTTTATTATACAATTTTTTTTAAGTCATCATCATCACTAATGCATCAGAAAATATTGTGGATATGATTATTGATATAAATATATATATATATGTAGCTTGAATATTACAATTAAAGCACTTACTGTTTGAAAACTTGCTGTCTCTGATTTGTTGTGAAGGAACTCATTGTGACATAATGATAAAGTAATGAGGAACTATTCAGTAACAACTCTGATTTATCATTTTACTGACCTAAGCTATACAGCTGTAAAATCAACCACAATATGCTGATAGATTCATTCTAGTTTACAGTGCAGTTCTGTTGTAATGTGTTGAAAATTACCCTCAAAAACAGCAAAATACTGCAAACGAGTGTTACGTAAACACAGACTTTGTGAACAAAACTGTTTTTCTGTGTGTTCATTACGTGACACAGAAAAAAATAAAGCAATATGAATAAACACTGGAAAATAAAACAATTTAGGTATTAAACCTATACTTTGACACAGAGCCCCTCTACAAGACAAGTGCCACAAAATGGAGGATGAAGGGCCCATCATATTTGATAGTCTACTGCACTTCAGTGGTAGGCCTACAAATTACAGACAGATTTGAGATTGTGTGAACATGTAGACCCAAATTATACGAGGTGAATTTAGGGCTTTGGGGTCTGACAGCCGTGGGCAGTTTCCTGTTTTGCTGGGTTGATAATACAGCCTTGACCCCGTATGGTTACATATTAGCTATTGTAGATTTAATGTCATAATTTTGTGTTTTATGTAATTTAACGTGGCTCACATTGCTTAGAGATTATCGACTCTTAGTGCGGGCGGGGCTGGACATGTTCGACCAAACGCACAACTGCAGTGCGAACGGTACGTTCCCTATACTAAATCGAGCACACCTGATACGAGGCAAACCTCGCCGCACGGCATGTGCTCATCCGGGTAACTGTGGGTATACCACATAACACAATCCAAAGCCTCCGATTAGCTGCTTTATCATAAACCTCTAGAGGTTATTTTTTTATTTCTGCACCCCAAAGTGAACCCTGACAGAAAATACTGAGAGAGTACGAGCAAATCTCGACGTTTGAATCATTTTAAACAACCGTATTCAGCGTGTAAGCAGAGATAGGAAAGCACATTACCGAAACGTGACAGAGGAAAAGTTGTATAAGGGCTGATTCTGACCAATCAGAGTCCTCCATTCCTCCCTGCGTATCCATGTGGGTGGAACTGTCGATACAGAAAGGACGTCTTGCATGGCCGAGGAGTTTACCAGCCGTTACAATTTATAACCAATGCTTAGCCTATTTCTGGGGTTGACTGTGTGTTTAATTTGTGAAGACTACTGCTGCTTGTGGATACAAACCTGAAATATTTGCGCGTTTGTTCTTTTTTGCGACCTAGAAGCTTGTGTTACACGGGCTTCACTCACGCCTCGTGTGATAGCTGGCGAAAGTTATACAACTTAAACACATCGCTAGTAGCTGCATACGGGTTTATTTCGAGCTTAATTCTTGCTCACTTCGTCGTTGCTTTTAATCGAGACAAGAGTTGTGCCGTTTTTCTTGCGTCCTCCGGGGTCACCTGCTGTCCACAGATGCAGCCGCTGCTGATCGGGAGACCCTACTCTGTGGATATGTTCATGGAGCAAGGTTAAGGTCAGACAAACCTCTAACGTTTCCCCACCAATCCACTGACCAGGTTAAAAACTACTTCGTCCTCGAATTTGAATGGACACTTAACTATTTTGCTGCCAAATCAACGCAAGAGGGCGTCTTTTTGTTGTTTTTGGGAACCCCGTTCCCCTCCTTCTGACCCGACCAGGGATAAACAAAGAGGGCCGTCGACATGGTGGTCAACACCATCCACTGGTTCAGGAAGGGACTGCGGCTGCACGACAACCCGTCTCTAAGGGACTCTATCCGGGGAGCGGACACCCTGCGCTGCATCTACATCCTGGACCCCTGGTTCGCAGGGTCTTCCAATGTGGGCATCAACAGGTGGAGGTAAGGGGTGGGACAGGATGTCAGAATTTGTAGTAGTATGTGAGTGTCAAAGGGAATGATAGGTGTGTGGAGGGTTTAACTATTAATTTTCATCATTACTGGACCTCCAGTCTAAATCTAAAGAATCCTAATTAGAATTTTACAGATGATCCATCCAGATCTCCCACTTCCACTTAATTTACCATCTACCTGTCAGTCCAAATGTGCTACATGTTTGCATTTCTGGTTAAACGCAGTCTTATGTAGTCTTCTCCTACATTCGTTGTAAATATTGTAAAATTAGATATTAAATGGTGGAATTATATTTGATTGTTAATGTCACTGGAGATGGCCTACATTCGTTTAGTTAATTAAAATATAACAGTTGATCACTTGATTTAAGCACCTGTAACTGACAATATCCTCTACTGTTGCTTGCAAAATCCTTTCTCTACGTGGGAAATTATATCTTTAGACGAAATGGTGTGTTTTTAGTTGTCAAAAGATGATGCACACTATTTAGGTCATCCATAAAGCTCAATTTCACATGTTTAGTAACTATTGCTTAATCACTTATGAGACATTTTAGGATATGAAAATTTGGGCAGCAGTACAAAACAAAACAGCTTAGACACTTAACAATGCTCTATGTAGAGAATAGTAAATTACTTTGGGCATAGCCTATATTCCACCCAGTGTTGACAGGATGTCACCATCTGGAGGCTGACATGGTCACTCCCCCTTGAGTTGCAAACATGCAACAAAACATGGTGAAAAGTCATGGAAAACTCTGGATGAGATGAAGAGAAGCATAAGGAGAAGAGAAGCAGTACAACCTATTCTGCCTTGCCGTTTATATAAATGGCATGATGGTAGAATTGTATAAAAGGTAACCCAGCATCGGTGGTAGTCACATAGCCGGATCAACATCTGTGTAAAGGGGAGTGCTGCACTTTTGTGTTACACTTCATGCCTCTGATTATGGAATGCCAGCATGCTATCTTAAATCACGCACAGAGGCAGCGTTTATTACAGCAATATAGTGGGATCTTTGTGTATGGTGAAAAGGCTCCAGACAGTGAGTGTGGTGCCTAACCACCACCATGATACAAGCAATTTTTCCCACTTACTAACTGCTGCTCAGCCTTCAATGGAGGGGTAAGAAATTGGGTCAGTGTGTTATGGTCATTACATCATGCCATCTCACAGTTTTGACCTACATTAAACACACACACTTACCAGACCCTGCCTCACACCACCCCCTTTAGTCAGCTACATCACCTCATTTACAATGTGCACATTATTTCTAGCTCATCACATGCATCCTCATCCTTCAGCTTTTCCCATATTATCGCGAGCACTTTGACAGTATTTCAAAGTTCAGTGGTAGTCAATGTTACTGCTCTGTTTCTGTGCGCAATAGTGCCACTTATAAGTGTTAGTGGAAGAATTATTAAATGATTCATTTGTAATAATAAAACTATAGACAACATAATATAGTTTGTTAGTTTAAGAGACTGGGTAGACTGGGGAGTTTAAAATACTGCATGAAGAAATACATTTCTGCAAATTCATAGTATTCATTTTTATAATACATGAGACTCATTTCTTTCATTGGTACTGTTGGTTACAAGATCTCCACACTTTTTGAGATAGGAGCCTATTGCTCATCCAAGGCTTTATGTTATCACGTGGATTAGGACACCTGCACATCAATCTCACTAGTGAGAAGGTAGCAGTTGTTATTATTCTGTCCTTTGGTTTTCAGGTTTGATCATGCCTTTAAGAACTAATAACCTGCTTTGTATGAATTTGTAATAGGTTTTTGATACTCAAATCTTACAAAAAATGAAAAAGCATTTAGGCTTTAACCAAAGGTGCTATGTCTGTTTTGAGCAAGTTCAGATTTGCTGTCATTGTGCTGATTGCACGACAGAGAAAAAGTTTGATTCAAATGCAGAAACACATTTGTCTTTCTGCCTCTTACTGTATTAAATGTTGGGAAGTTACCACACTGACACAAGGCACAGTCTCGTGTTAAGTGTCTACGTGTGGTTGCTAGTAACATTTTGCAGGTGCAGTGCATGGTGGTTTGTGTGTCGACAAAAACTTCACCAGAAGAGGGCTGCCTGTTCACACACTTGAATCTTCCATTTCATCCACTCTCTTAATTTATGCAAGCTTTTTGTTCTGTTGTCTTTATATAGTCTGTAGTCCGTATCAGGTGATCAAATGATGGTATTCATTTCAGTTTTCATTAAAGCAGATTACTACTTGCATTCTCAGGTTGATGGTAGTGGATGACTGTCTTTGGTCACAGATGCATAATACAATTTGTATTTCTCCACTGAAGTTTAATGACACAGTTAAATTTAAAGAGGACCTATCATGCTTTTCGAAGTTTTCCCTTTCCTATAGTGTGTGATATAGCTTTTTGTCCATGTAATGGTCTACAAAGTCACAAGGTTAGAGGTACATGAAGAAGGGAGTACCTCTGTCAGGGCAAAAACCACTTCTCTCATTTGCATGAAACGCCCAGGTCCAGGCCATCATAACATTTTTTGTTGTTCCTCTTGTGTAGAGATGCCTTGATGAGAATTACATTGTATATAGTCACAGTTCAGTAATTCTACATGGATCATCTGTATAACACTTTGTTTTGTGTTGTTGATTAACTGCCACATATGCTAACATGCTAAGCCACAGTCTGAGGCTTTTGAATGTCTATCCATCTTAATCATTAACTCAATCAGATCAGAGGGGTCTACACAGACATTATTGTTCCATTGAAATGTCACCCATGTGACACACACACACACACACACACACACACACACACACACACACCCACCCATACCTTCCCCCTGCAGCAGTGGTTGTGTAGACGCAAATAATATTAATGGTCTCATGATTGCATTTTTTGTAACCTTGGTGTTAAGATGTTATCTTGCATGTATAATTGATTAGTTCATCCTTCTGTCTGTCTGGTTCCAGGTTTTTGTTGCATTGTTTAGAGGACTTGGATGCTAGCCTGCGCAAAATCAACTCCCGCTTATTTGTCATCAGAGGCCAGCCTACAGATGTCTTCCCTCGTCTTTTTAAGGTACCAGAGATCACATAGATTAGAAGACACAGCTGTATACTTTTCTTTGCTTTTCTATGCTTTGAAATAAATCAAATTTTGATACTTTTGATACTGCCTTCCATATTGATTACATCGAACTTCCATATTTCAAAGATATCTAATATTTTAAATGAATAAAAACATCTTGGATATCAGTATATCATTCGTTGAAATCTCTTATGACTCTTATTTCATATCAAGTGACCTAACATTGTTCTGTTCAGAATAAAACAACAAATTATATATATATATATGACTGTCCATGTGTGTGTACATCACATTTTTTCTCAGGAATGGCAGATCACCCATTTATCTTATGAATACGACTCTGAGCCGTTTGGCAAGGAACGTGATACCGCCATCCAAAAACTAGCCAACGAGGCTGCGGTAGAGGTGATAGTGCGGATTTCACACACGCTCTATGATCTGGAAAAGTGAGTAACAAACCTGTTTGGAACAATGTGAATTGTGCCTGTTGAATTGTGTGTGTGTGTGTGTGTGTGTGTGTGTGTGTGTGTGTGTGTGTGTGTGTGTGTGTGTGTGTGTGGGTTTAGGTTTGATTCCCTTTTAATGCATTCCCTTTTTTCTCTGTTAAAGGATCATGGAACTCAATGGTGGTCAGCCTCCTCTTACATACAAGCGCTTCCAGGCCCTCATCAACCATATGGATGCTGTGGAGCTGCCTGCAGGGACAATCACATCTGAGGTCATTAAAAAATGTGCCACACCCATTGGTGATGACCATGATGACAAGTTTGGGGTGCCCTCCCTGGAAGAGCTTGGTAAGGTTTTTCTTTATTCGTGAGTGTGTGTGTATGTTGTATGCATTGATACTCTGGCGTTGCATTATATGTACAAATGCAAACCAGCACAGCCACAGACTTGTATATTACAGGTTTGTATATTTTGTTTTTTTAGGATTTGAGACAGAGGGCCTGACCACAGCAGTGTGGCCAGGTGGAGAAACAGAAGCCCTCATGAGGTTAGAGCGGCACCTGGAGAGGAAGGTAAAAAGACATTCTACTACACAGTATACACCGAAAAGAAATGACTGCAGTTACCATTACCTCTGGCTTTAGCTCACAACTCACCTTGCTCAAGTCTTTGTCTTAGTGTTGTGGACCATCAGTGGTGATTTAAACTTACAGTAAATATAAACATTGAGCCCAGACAGATTTCATCATCATCATCATGATCAACAGCATCTTTGTTGTGTCACCTCTTTTGAGCATCAAGTTTTGAGGCCTGAGACTGAAAAGTGTCCTAATTTTCCTAACTTATTGATGTCTGTCATTTCTTCAAATGTTCAGTGGTATTATTTTAGTTAAAGCTGACCGACCATCTTTTTACAGGCATGGGTGGCAAACTTTGAGCGTCCTCGTATGAACGCGAACTCCCTGCTGGCCAGTCCCACAGGGCTCAGCCCCTACCTGCGCTTTGGATGTCTCTCCTGTCGGCTCTTCTACTTCAAACTTACTGATCTGTACAGGAAGGTATGAATGGCCACAGACGAGACATGAGCCAATACAAAGAATTTATTCTTGGAATATTTTTTAAATTTTAAAGTAAGAGTGGAAAAACATTTATTTTGTGTAATGGTGAACGAGTCAAACTAGTCTGTTCATGTTGCCTTTATGTTTTCTGTCTTATCAGGTCAAGAAGAACAGCACCCCTCCACTTTCCTTGTATGGACAGCTGTTGTGGAGGGAGTTCTTCTATACGACTGCCACCAACAACCCCTGCTTTGACAAGATGGAGGGAAACACTGTGTGCGTCCAGATCCCCTGGGACAGAAACCCAGAGGCGCTGGCCAAGTGGGCAGAGGGACGGACAGGTTTTCCCTGGATAGATGCCATTATGACCCAGCTAAGGCAGGAGGGGTGGATCCATCATTTGGCAAGGCATGCTGTGGCCTGCTTCCTCACCAGGGGAGACCTCTGGGTCAGCTGGGAAGAAGGCATGAAGGTAAGAACTAAGAAAAGTACATGAATAGTACATGAAGCTACCTGTCTGCTGTCCTGGTGCCTATTGCTCTGATTTACATAACTACCATGCGTTGTCTCAACTGTCCCCTGTCTGTGTCTTGTACAGGTCTTTGAAGAGTTGCTGTTGGATGCAGACTGGAGTGTAAATGCTGGCAGCTGGATGTGGCTCTCATGCAGTTCATTTTTCCAGCAGTTTTTCCACTGTTACTGCCCTGTGGGATTTGGACGACGCACAGACCCCAGTGGTGACTACATACGGTCAGTCAGTACTTTCATCTGCATCATATGAATGTAAAAGCACAGGCCTTTCATAATGTCCCATGCAGTCATTTAGATTAGAGGAAGATCACATGGTTAACCTTGTGATCTCTTGTAGCCTCACAGGGGGGAAATGATTTGTCGTGGTTGCATAAAGATTTCCAAAATATGAACAAATTGTTTAAGATTTCATACATTTTTTGTTTTGTATTTGTGATAATGTGGTTTATCAGCATCACACCACAGAAGTTCTCCCAAATGTGATGCAATCATGTACAGTAATTGGTAAATAGCGATAAAAAAAATTGTGACCTTATTTCCACTTTCACACTCAGTATTAATGATGGTTGAACACCAGCTAATTAAAATGGCTCATCTGTAACATCTCAGACAAGGCGGTCACAAATTTCTGTAGTGTTACATTAGTCTTCCTCACCTTATATCGTGTTCCACCCATTTTTATCATAATTTTTTTCATTCTACATCTGTTTTCATTCTTTTCTTTGTCTGCTTACAGGCGTTATTTACCTATATTGAGGGGCTTTCCAGCCAGATACATCTATGATCCCTGGAATGCCCCAGAGGAAGTGCAGAAGGCAGCCAAGTGTATCATAGGAGTGCACTACCCCAAGCCCATGGTGAACCATGCTGAGGCCAGCCGCATCAACATAGAGCGGATGAAGCAAATTTACCAGCAGCTTTCCTGCTACAGAGGACTGGGTAGGGACATGATTCAGATACTCAAGCACGCATTTTAATGTATTTTTTAATATCTGGAATTCTACCTGGATTTATACAGATAAACAATTGTCAATGAAAATAGCCTGTCAATACCAGCCTGCAATACCAGCAAGCCTGTTATGAGACCCAACCCCATAAACCACAATTTCGGACAGTAGATCTAAAAGCTAACATACTATGTTCTTCATTGCTTTGCCTCACAAATGCACAGCACATAGTATTGCATTACTATTTATTTAGTTGCACTGCAACAGAATAAATGATATTGTGTGATTGATAAGGGGCATTTGACAGATAGAATACCCAAAGTTGTGCTACTATTTCATTAAACTACATCAGCAACCACCCAAGTACAAAAAACCGACACATGTAAAAACATGATGTGTAAAAAAGCCTAGAAATGAAGAGGGTGAAGGGATCAGAAAGTTAATTTGAAAATCCTAATTGTCACATTTTGTTCTCTGCAAATATTATCCATACACATCCATGTTGTTCTCCAGGCCAGATGTTAGCAGTATTTATTGCTTTCAGGTACTGCAGTGTCAAAGCCTTGGTGTATTATTAGTGTCAGATGGCTGTTTGATCTAATTTGACCAAAATTGCAGTCACCAGTAATCACCACACAAACATTATCATCAATCAGCTGCTTTTGGTACTTTCAGTGTCAGGCTCATCAAGGCACTCACTGTCTGAGTTGAACAATTAGAATTTTATAAATGCACAGCATTGTGGCTCTTTTATATGTCCACTTATTCATTAGCTTTACTAAAAGAGTTTACTCGTGTTTTTAGTAGCTGCCAAACATTGAACAATGCTCCTGAGCTACAGATTGCTCCCATGCTAAAGAACCATTTTATCATCATGTCAAAGAAAAAACTAATCTTCGTTATTATTTTCTCAAAGAAACATTGTCTTGTGAGTAAATTAAATGCTTTGGTCTCTTTGCAGGCCTGCTGGCAACAGTACCTGACAATCCCAGCAATGGTCCAAGTGGCAGTAATGCTGCGGGAGTCAACAGAGGGACCAGTCATGGTCCAGGAGGGCCCTCTGAAGCCCCGTCCATTCAGGAGAGAACGTCTCGAACAGGTACACAGGCTGGATGGTTGACATCATTGTTGGTTAAAATACATTTAAATTGTACAATGCAGACAAGATACTCATGTTATTTACTCAATTTCATCACACTCATGGCTAAAATTAATACCCATGAGACTTGGAAAAGTTGGCAACATGATATTTGTTATGTTCAAATATTGAATAAACTACTGTTGTTCTGCCAAAACAACTCAGAGTTATTAAAAAACAATAATATGCTCTCAAGACGCTATACTGCAAAGAAAAGTAATAGCCTCATAAGTATATTCACTTGTTGAACTAATTGATGTCAATGTTTTATATTCTATTCAAAATATAAAATGTAAGATGATACCAAATTAATTTCAAATAATCTCTAACTGTTATTATGTCCTGTGTGTTATCTTTTAACGCAGAAAGAGGACAGTCGACTCAGAAGAGGCGCTATGAAGAGGCTCCATCCAAGAGCAGCTCTAAATCCTGGAGGCAGAGCAAATAGCGTGTAAAAGACTGAATACAAAGGTTGTCAGTCTGTATCCTCTGGTACCACCCTATCCTGCAGCGCACACAGCTAACACAGTAATAACTTTAACTACCAACCATGGAGTAGACAGAATGTGGGTGTTGGATCCAGCGGGTACTATTGGCCGTCAGTCTAAAGGACTCTCCACAGTACATGATATTTGTAATGAGTCAATCAGTCACGTGTCTTGGTCTTCAGATACTGTAAAACACACCACACATCTCAGGAACAGAAGAAGGAACGTGGAGAAATTGGTCGTAATTGAGAGAATAAAACCTTACACTTTAAGGTAAAAAAAAAGGCAAACAAAAATAATCTCTTCACATTAGAGTGTTGTGAGGCCACCTGTTGTCTTCCACTACAGTATTTGTGGCCTCCACACCATCATGTGAAAATGTCAAACTCTCCATCTGTAGTGATGGGAATCAGAAGATATGTACAGCAGCTGACACCCTCGCCCATTGTTGGCACACTGACTCAAACAGTAGTAAAGGAAATTAGAAGTAAGACTGTCAGGTTTGGCAATAAAGCAAGCCTTACAAAGGCTGTCATATACTTTGTAAATATTTATTGTTTTTAATTTCCAACTTTTGTATATTTGGTCATGGAATTTCACAACTACTTTTGTAAATAATATGTTACCAAAACTCGAAAGTTCTACCGTGAATGCATGTGCTTTTGTTTCCCATGTGATGTTAAATCTATTATTTTTGTATTTTTGACCAAATTCTAACTGTATCGAAATGGCAATACAAGACAAACATTGTTTTATATTTGTTTTATTGCACTATAATACAAATTTTATTGCCATCATTCTCTTCACACAAGGAATTGAATTCCAGTAATTGTGAACAGTATTTAAAAAACTTGAAATTTGTTTGTTGCAAAATGTACAAATTGAATTGTTTTCTGTTTTGTTAGTCATTTGGAAAGGAAATTGATCTCAGAGTCTCCTGCTGCCACTCAGTAGATAGGACGCATCATTCTACTTTAAGGAAATCTGGAATCTCCAAGAATGTGAGATATGTTCACAGCTAACTAAGACAAACTATAGTTTAAGTTATATATTTTACATTTAAATCCCCATATTTTTGTTTGTCTAATTTGCACAAATGTTTGGTGCACATATGGCTGATTGGACTGTAAAGCTGCCTATTTATGTTTTTGAGTTAAGCTGTATTGTTTAAATACTACAACCTCATCACAATGTTTTTTTGGTGTCAAGGTGGATTGCACAACATTTTGTAAATTTTGGGAAGGTCCTCACAACGGTACAATACACCCACAGTCATCATTGGACTGCCATCAAATCCCGGTGGGCCCTCAAAAAATCCATACCATCACTGTCAGACACATATGTCTCTTTACTGGCCCTCTCTGTGTCCCTGTCATTCGGGGTGTGCATGAGAGCGTGCTCACTGGTCTCACTGCCAACATTTCAATTCTCACCATCCATCCACCATCTGCCTGAACCCTCCAGTCATTTATGTTGCACCTCTTGGGCTGGGAGAGGTTGCATAATCATTCGCAGTGACTGATGGAGTTTGTTGATCTCACGCAATAGATTCTTCTTACAACTAATATGTTGACTTTCCAAAACAGAAAATAAGTGGATTCAGTAAGATTGATAAGAGGTGAAAACACCTGTGGGAAAATGTAACACCTTTTTTTTCCAATCTGCAAAAAAATTAAAGACAACCTTGAGCCATCCTGCATCTGCAGGGGAACCACAAAGAAAGAGAGTCCATTATTTATTTATTATTATGTCCTGTGGATGCAATGTAATATTTCATGAACAGAGCCCTGCATCCAGCAACAAGCCATGGAATGAAATGCAGTGCCTATAAAATGTATTCACCCCTCCATAAACCTTTCACATTCTAATGCAAAAGCCAAAAAAATCTCTGCAAGCGATGTAAATTGACTACAGCCCCATATGACCTCTGGGGAGAGGGGTGGAGGGTGGATAAATGCTTATGCAATACGTTAATTTATGTTTTATAGTTTTACTTGATTTAGATCAATTTAAGCAGATGTTTTTTTTCTACTTTGACACAAAAGAGTTTTACTGTTAGTGTCAAAAAAGCTAAATATCCACTCTGATTCAAAGATGTTGAGAAAGTCCAGGGGGTGCTGCTGCTTTTTCATTGGCACTGTGCTGTATAAGTGAACTTTAACTTCCAAGAATTTGAGATAGGTTCCAATGTTTTAATCTCTTGGTGATAATATGATAGTACGTTGATAAATCATTTTTTGGCCATTAATGCTCCTGTTATCGCTGAGGACGGTGAGGTACCTTGTGAGGGAGTCCCGCTGCTGACTGACAACGGTGTTGTGATGGGGGCTGATGGGGGTGAGGGCGAGGCTTTCAGCTGGGTCACGAATCTGGACGCCCTGAAACTTCACCGTGTCCAATAGCAGCTGCCGGTCGGTGGGCGGTGATAGCTGGGTTCAAACCTCAATAAATTGCTCCCACACACACAAACGCAGTTCTTCTGGCGAATCTCGAACCTGCCTTCCCTGTCAGATTGTTTCGTTTATTTGTCTGTTGGCGATGGACTGGAGACTGAACAAAGTGCAGAGGAAACCGGTTCGCCTTATAGCAGCGGTGTGCAATGACATGGGGATCGGGAAAGATGGAAAACTGCCCTGGCATTTACCGTAAGAGTGAAACATCTGTGATGAGGTCTATTGGATGTTTCTCCATGCGGATACTGTCACGACTTAAGCTTACGTAACTACAGTTACCGTATTGATATTGTCAGTGAACTCTTATCAGTGTACTCTTATTTTGGAGGTCTACATGCAATAGGCAAGCTCAATAGTGAGTTTTTTTTGTTTGTTTGTTTTTTTCAGTTTCAGTGGCATCACTTATTATTATTATTTCTATGTAGCTATTTAGTAGCATCACCATCCTTTGCAACCCTTGCAAAATTCAAATGCAAAATTTTGAAGAAAAGTTTAGGCTACAAAGCAGACAGTGAGGATTAGTTTGGATTATTTTTGTAGGTAATGATTTGGTCCAGGGATGTATATTAGAAGAGTCCAAAGTGATGTCTGAAAACTGCTTATTTTGTTGCATGAAAAGCCAAAAATAGACACTTAAAGTCCACCTGTTCATCATGCATAATCTGTATATGAAAATGTCATCGGTTTATAACAGACTGTAGTGTAAGGTGGTGGCGTATGTATAAAGAGACAACTCAATCTTAATATAAAACACTTCTTCATTGGAGAAGTTGTAACAAATACTGTACATTAATAATCAAACTAAAATTGTGTTACCAAAAATTACACACACAATGGTGATACAAAGAAAGTTGTAACAAGGAACTGTGAATTAATTCTAACTGAAAAATGACAAAAAAAAGTCATTACAATTGTCAGAAATTAATTTTTTGTTGATCGTGTAATTAATTGCTAAAAATTGACTAAGAATTCAGTTTTAGCTGCAGTCGAAGCAGCAGCAGCACCAGTCCTAAAGGTACCAGGTTCTAGTAGAATATGCTCAAGTGATATTAAGGTGGTATAGTGGAAGCAACAAAACTAGTAGTGTGGAGGGTTGTGGTACAGTGGAACAAGTCTCAGTAATTGTTAGAACCAGGAGTACTAGTAAGAACAGCAGTTACAGGGTGGTACGCCATGCAGAGCTTGTAAAGTGCAGTGAAATAGAGAGAAGATACTATGTGTTTTTATGTGTTATATCTTATTCATTAGGGCATTCATTGCTCCATGTGCAAACTATAAGTAGCAGTACTTAGACTTAATGAGCTTAGCAACAGCTGACTGTTTTCTGCTTGATTTAATGTTGAAAACATGACTTTTCACAGGTCTGAATTCCAGTACTTTCTGAACACTGTCACAACGGTGTCGAGACCAGGTAGTCCTCAACATCAGCATTACATCATATCATATTTACCTCATGTAGGGCTGGGTATCATGTTTCAGTGTGTTGAAGTACCCTTATGTTTCAGGCTTTTAATTAACTGGATTAGACAGAATGTGATGTTCCACTTTGGTTATTTCATCCATTAACAGTTTGAATTTCCAGAAGGTGTACTATATGTCAATAAATAAATATGACATAAAATTACATATAGGCTACCAGGATAGAAGATTTTATCCATATCTGTCATCTTTACTTGACACAATCTAATATATGTCATCATCAGAGACATGAGAGCTGCTGTAAATGAGTTGATATTTTATTCATTCTGTTTCAGGAAAGATGAATATGATGGTCTGGGGAAAACTGTGCTGGTACTCCAACCCAGAAACAATGTTCCCATTGGCTAATGTTCTGCATGTGGTGTTGAGTACCACACTGAAGTGAGTCTCTCAAACACACACACACACACACACACATCTGCATCAACAAGGGGAGCAGGGTTATCCATTCATCATGTTCTGTCTCTTGTGACACCCACTGTCTTACAGCACTGTTCCAGATCACGCTCAGTTCTTGTGTCATGACTTTGAGAGTGCTGTGCGCTTGGCTGCAGAGCCCCCCCTTGCTGACTTAATAGAGACCATCTGGATTGTTGGTGGTATGCAGGTCTACAAGGTAAAATTGTCTAAGCATCTCATTGAAACTTATTAAAAGGTGAGATAAAAAATTATAGCTGAATTAGCCAGTTTGGGGACCAGAGGGCAAAAATGAGTTGTGGGCATCACACATCTTTCCTCAACCCAGAAACCAAGCCACTATTTTTTTTACTGGAATTCTAATACAGTGTTTTAAAACACTTGCTGTGACATGACTGATTGGGAAGTGGGATCAATTGCAATATGCTGTTGTTATACTGGGACACCTGAATTGAACAGAGCCATCGTTAATGTCATTGATAACACCTGTGCATTTCCTGCTATGACAAGTCAAACTGTCTGAAGTGAAAAAGGTCAATTTAGTGCTGTACAGCAGCAGTTGTCTCTGCTCTGTAGAGTCTGTTACTGTTTACCTAGCATTTGACTATCTTACATCATCTTCGTTGGTCTAGTTAAACTGGTACTTTAACAGAGACACGATTCCTTTGGGACATCTTTTCCACCCTGTTCACCCATTGGACTAAAAGTAACAGGGTTGTTTAGCATTAAGCATGCAATTTACATACTCAGCTCTGATTGGACTATTATTTTGTTGCTCATTTCTGGAACCACATGTTTTTATTTGGAGGTTCCAGTCACAAGGCTTGGCAGTCACACCTGTATTGAATGGAGCATTACTAAGCTAAACCACAGGTTTAAAGACACACTACACATTCTTGGTACACCCTCACAGGTGTTTTCACTTCACCCCTAGATTTTATTTTATCTACACCATGTAACTGTCCCATATGTTGTCAACTGTCACTTATTGGTTAGTCATGTTATTTCACCAATAAAAGAAAAACTGTTGCTTTGTCGAGTTATTATTGTGCTGTATTAAAAGCCTACACAAAGCTCTCTCAGTTTAATGTTAATGTGACCAGAAAATCTGTTGCTTCTTGTTTTCTGACCAGGAGGGATTGAATCACCCGTGGTGTGACTTGCTTTACCTCACAGATGTCATGGCTGACTTTGACTGTGACGTTTTCTTCCCCGAGTTTGACAGAGGACTGTTTAAAGTACAAGAAAGGTTAGTGTCGATCTCATCCACAAACTGTTGTAGTGTAGAACGCCCTGACCTCGGGGCTCCAACCCCTGGGCCACACCTTCCTCTCGCCCCATGAGAGAGGGATTTTCGCTTGAAGTTACAAAGCAAACATCAGCACTATCTGTCAGACTGTATTGTCTTTGGTTGTAATAGCTCAGCTCAAAAGAATCGGCTGACTTCCACCGTTGCAGATTTTCTGTGACATTATGTTACTTCTGTTACACTGAATTTTAAGGGTAAATTAGTAAATGGTGATGGTTTTGGTGTTGTCTCTGTTGTTATTGAAAAAGAGCATTTTACTGGTTTTATGTCAGTTAGCTTCCATCCACAATAAACACATCACATTTCATGGTTTTGAAGTTGATCATGCTCCAACCCCAGCTAGCTTTCAATTTTTTGCTTGTTTTATTTAATAGTTCTTATTATTAACTGTTTTTTCTTCTTTAATGAACTCAAAAAAACCTTTTTCTCTTTTGTTTCCAAATAAGATTTCCCGGTGTACCTAGTGGCATTCAAGAGGAAAATGGCATTAAGTACAAATTTCAAGTATTCAAGAAAAAGATCGGTGATGCCGTTTAGATAACAGAAATCAGGCTATTATCTCTGGTGTATTTTTCTACTCTTGAAAACCTTGTCTGCTGTCAAGTGTGTTGTAAATTCAAGGAAAACCAAAGTCATGCTACCACTCTTTTTGTAATCCAGTCAATGAGCATTCCAGCTAGTGTATATGATCCATGAAAAACTTGAAACACTGTGAGCACAGACACTTTTTGAGAACAGTCCAATTTGTCTATGTCTATTTTGTTTAGTCTGTGTGTTTAGTCTTCAAATGATTTTTCCCATTGCTGCCGTTTGGTAGAATATTATGATCACTACTGGTGGAGAAAAAAAAAATCCCCTGCCACCACCATCACCTTGTCACTTGTCAGCATTCCCATCTTGTCCTCCTCCTCGGTAAGATTGCAGCTGCACAGAAAATATGCTTATCAGTGAGTCAGTCAGCAGCCTACGTCAATGACAGCCTGTGCTCTGGATGTCACAGCAGATCTGGTCCTTTCTAAGCCAACACGACAGATGCCAGTTCAGAGTGCAATGAGTGAATTATCCTACTGGTTTACTTTGATACTATAATGATATATTTTGTCATTTAGATAAATGTGAAGAAGTGATGCATCTTGTCATTTGGTGTGGTTAGAAATGCTGCAAAATATCTATTCATTTTACTGTCAAGTTTTGTTGCAAATTTAGAAGGTTTTTAGTGAAAATAAATCAATTGTAACATTTTAATGAAGAGAAGTTTATTTGTCATTTTGAATAAATTCATCTTTATTCATCTGGTTGTATGTAATTGTTTTTGCCACTAGATGGAGGCATTACAATAGGACAAGGTACAGAAACTTCTTGTTATGTTTCTGTAGATATTGTGTATCGATGGTTTCATGGTCTTGTAATAGTAATGTTGTATGTAAGAAGAAACATACAGACATGTACTGTACTTTTAAAACCCACTCTAAAAGCTCTTTGGGAAGCGCATGTTTGTTAATGTGCTCTATAAATACACTGACAAGACTAAAGACCAGAACAATAAAACTAAACAGAAGTTAGCCTCTGACACCTAACATTGTCGACAATGTATCCGAATCCTCAGGTACGCCATCAGAGGCAGCCACCAAACGCAGTCCAAGGACCCTGAAACTGAAGGCACTAAGCAGAATCCAGCCATCATTAATTTCATTATTTAAACTTACACTTACACTGTTTTTCCTACAGCGACATGCCAAAGTGTCTTCGGTCGAAAAAGTCTATTCATTTCTGGCACGGTAATTTTGAAAAGCAGCTGTATTTTTGTGTCTCAAGGACAAGCATTGACAATCACTGCTTTAAATGGCCAGTGGCATTATAAAATCAGTCATGAATGAATAAATGAATGATTCTGAAGACGGACGCATGGTGTCGCAGACAGTGACATGATCCCAATAGACTGCACCTCTCCACAAGTGATATTACCATGAGTGACAGATGAGTCTATGTGTCAGAGTTGTGACTTTCGGATGCAGTGTTCAATATAGAAAGTTATTTACCTTTTGTGCATTCAACATCCATCAATGTGACATTTATTTTCCTCCCACTGCATGTACAGGATATTTCTGTTATCTCATCAGGGCACAGGTGGGTTTGAGAGACAAGTAATGGCAGAAAACAAAATGTTTTTACTCATCAGAAGCAGGGGGATAAAATGTTGTTGGTTGTTCAAGGTTGAAAATGGAAGATAGACTGATCTTAGTATGCTTGGGAAAACAAAACTATATTTTAAAATATTGTAATTTAAGGTTTCCAGGTTAAGTTTATTCTTGGAGTCAAAAAGGAATATTTAAGGTGCAAAAAGGTTTATCCTCCACCTGCAGTACATTAACTGCTTTTGAAGTTTATCCTTTTAAACTTGAGTTTAACTCACCCCGACTTCAAATAAGGAATATTTACAGCAGCAGTGGTCGCCCATGCTCTGACTTCAAGCTGGAAATCATACCTTTTCATTACAGATGTCATCTGTTTCTGGTGAGATATGACCCATAAAAGCAATATGTTAAGCATGGCTAATACCAACCAGCGTCATATTTGAAATGAAAAAGGACAATTTATATTCCCTCTTATTAACCTTGCTGGCTTGTCTGTGTAATTCAAGAGGACAGCACGGGACGACACGACAGTCGAGGACAAGAGGACACTGGGTAAGAAATAGAGGTGACTTGTATTTATACACCTGAGGCCTTGTCTCGTCTGCCTCGCCTTGATACATCCTGATTAACTCCTTGTATTTGTTACCTGTTACCACTGATGAAAGACACAACCCTGCAACGTGATGACTTAAAGAAATTGTCTGTGTAAAATTAGTAACCTTCAGTACGTCAGCTGCAGCGTACTGGAGGCACTGCTGTAGCCCCTCAGGGGTTCCATGTTGTGAATGGTTGGAAAATGAACTCTAGTCAAGCATCCATCTGCTGAGCTCAAATTCATTACCAGATGCACTCACTTTCACATCATCTGCCCAGTGGCTATCGCCATGACTACGGGACCATGCTGAGTGATGCAGACGGCAGCAGATGGGAAGTGGAAGTTGTTAACGTATATTAACTCCCCCACCCCTCACCCCCCTTCCCTCCCTTCCTCCTCCTCCTCTACTTCCTCCCTCTGGACACACAAGTCCTCTCTCTCTTTGTTGTGACCCCCATCGTCCACATTACGAGAGCGAGGGAACCTTGAGGCATAAAGTCATGGCTTCATTAGCTGTGAAGCTTGCTCCCATTAAAAGGCACTCTTAAGCATGTTTTAAGGGCTTTTGCTGGCTTCCAAACATTGAGACATATTCAGAATGAGACAAAAAAACATTTTACAATGCCCTCTCTTGGCTTAGACAATGCTCAGTGAGACTGTATATTGATTTTGTGGCTTACACTACAATAAATACAGGCACTAACCCATATGACACACACAGACATGAAAATCTTATTAATAAAACCAAACATAATGGAAAATCAATTTTGCATAAATGATCTGAAACTCAACTGCTTTCTGAATAAAGCCTGCAGAGTGTGTTCGAGAAAACCACTTCCACCTCAAATCAAAGGAACTTAATTTTCTTTCTTTTTTTTTTTTATCACATCGTGTGGGTGCATTTGAATTCATTTGAAATGATAATGAAGTGACATTTCAGTAGTGAAATAGCTTATAATAAAGTGTCTCCATCTGTAAAGGAACAATAAAAATCTGAGACACAGTTAGATTTCCTCCCTGAGGGGAACAGTTGTGCTGCCAAGAACATTGTGTGAAAATGAGACTCCTGCACAGGCTGTAAATAAAATGGTTTGAAAAGCCCTGTTTGTCCTCAGTAATACTCAGTAATATATTTGATAGATGAGTCAGCACGTCTTTCATTGCACACTTATGTCATGTGGTGTCTTATGTTAAGTTATTGTGATGAGGTAACTTGTAAATAAGCTGTAATAAATTCTTTATCTGGCAAGGGACTACACCTTCCCTAAAAAGCATGACATATTGAGATGGCACTGCATTTGTCTCACTCTCTGGTATCACTCTGGTAGGCTGTTACATAACCATCTTCATCTCTTCCAACATGAATTTACACCTGCAGTAAAAGTGCCCTGCTTTTCATTCGTAATACCATCAGACTCGCAGACAAACAGTGTGCAATCACAGCTTTCTTTAGTCTGAACAACAAGTGAAAAATTTACTTTGATGCATTTTTGCATTTGGTGAAAAGATTCACATTGCCTAATTAGAGCAAAACCAGGGCTTGAAAAATAACAACACTCACATGACTCACGAGTAGTTTGCTTATTTGATTACCTTTCATCCCACAAAGTTGGAGATTGTGGCAGCAGGAAACCAACTCTCTCTGCTGTAATTTTGCTGGAGTGTGATTCCTCATACCACTTTTGAGGACATGAGGAAAAAGTACAATTTAGGTCAGTTTTCATCTTGCATTTCAGTCAGTCAAGTTCAAATGGCATCATTGTCATTTTTCTAATAAAACTGCAGGAATAAACACACAAATCTGATTCAAACATAAATGCTTGATGTGGGTGCACCTTTAGACTTAAAACACTTTAATCTGATACTGACATCGTACTAAATAATCACAAGAACAGCATACATCCAGTTACAGCTTTAATGAACTTGTATTAGTCCATATAGCCCATGTCAGTCATCTACTTTTAAAGGGGCAACAGGGTTAAAAAGTGGCCTCTCTCTACGTAGCTGGAGTTTTCCGTAGCTCATCTCAAATTCCTTCTTAGTGCCATTTAGGACCTCCAGACTACCTGTCCTTACATCATAGCCATGCACCCTCAGTCGCTGGATGCGGTAATTCACTATCTGTGACGTCAGCTCTAGGACGGTCGGAGTCTCCATGATTTGAGACATGCTGATCCCTGCGCTAAGGAGCCCCTCAAAGCGCTCAGCCAGAATAGCCTCAGGGTAGTAGAGCAGAGCAGGGCAGTTGAGGATGATGTCCCGAAGATCTGCCTCAGAGCACCCCATGGTGTCCTGAGAGTACACCAGGGTGCGACGCATGCTGTCCGGGTTCAGCTCGGTGACAAAGCCCCTGAGCTTGGAGAGGAGGCGGAGGAGCTCTGCAGTGCTGAAGCCCTTGTCTCTCAGGAACAGCAAGTTCTGCCTCAGCACCTCTGGGGGCTTGAGGAGAACATATGGGTTCTGGCTCAGCAGTTTCTGAAGCCAGATCTTCATGTTGGCCTCCTCCCCTCCCAGCTCCTGGTAGGCCTGCTGGAGGGTGCGCACCATCACCTCGTTCTGCTCTACTGGCCGGCTGAAGCTCTGGGGAGCACTGGCCATGAGTTTGGTGATAATTCGCTTGTTGAGATTTAAGCTCTGGAAGTAAGCAATGTTGTTCTGCTGGTTGTCATGGTGGCAGGAGGAGGTGAAAAAGGAGGCAGGGAATTTCTCAATGATACCAACCAGCTCTTTCAAGTTTGGGCATACAGTCATCCACAGGTCCCTCTGAGCCTTCATCTGCTCTGGGTGAAAAAGGACCGCCTCAGGATGAACTGCTAAAATCCGAGAGATTATGACACCTGAGGCCCCCATGTCCATCAGCAGGTCAGCTACCTCCTCAGTATAGGCTGGGCTCTGATGCAGAACCCAGCCCTTCAGTTTCCTGACCTTCTGGACGTCCACAGAGAGATCATAGAGAGCCTTCACGGTCTTCTGGTTCTCTGCTGAACTCAGTGTCGCACATGGCCTGACGTTTAAAGGTAGAGCTGTGACACGTTGGCACCGGAGGCACAGGGATGTTGCGATCAAGCGCAACATTGATGCAAAGTCCTGATGCTGATCACCTAAGAGAGTGAGAGAAGAAGAAACTGCAGTGGGTGACAACCAAGAAGGAGGCTGACATAACTACTGACTAAAAATACCAGCTTCTCCTCCTGAAAAGGAGAGAGCAAGTTTATGACAGCTTGAGCAAACAGTAACACTTTCAATTCTTACATTTATCAAGCAGTTGTAGTAACTGTGGTGATGCTCTGCGAAGCCAGAGGTCTGTCATAGCTGGCCTTGTGCTTCTATCAGGACATCATTAAGTCGTTTGTTCTACTACACACACACATGTAATGCAGTAATATGTAAGTAATATGATAGTATGAGCTTCCTGTTTATTTGCCACAGCCAGTCCAAGAGACATCTGAACAAACACAGTGTTAGTGATATGAAATCCCACTTTAATCTCCCATCCTTGAGACAGGTACCAAGCTGTTG